AATGAAACCTTGTATATATTGATTTTGATTTCCAGATCTGTGATCATTTTGTCGTTCTTTGATTCTGTTTATGTTTTCATGTATTAAATGCTTTCGATTGTTTGGCCAACAGTTGAATTGATTCTAAATGGGAATGAACTCGAGAGAGGATTTCTCGTTTGATTTTAGGAAAACATAGCTCGGGTTGTGGAAACGGAGACGTGATGCACCTCGGGTAGCCCTTAAGGACTTGACCTAAATGCTCTCTTAATATCAGGTTCTGAACGGAGACGTCGGACCTGTGGGTAGACTCTAACTACACTGGAGACGGGGGTTAGGGTACTTTAGTGTCTGGGTTAGCGAACATAGAATTGACATTAGATTCGGATTTGTAGATCTTTATCGATAGTACACTGGTGGATTTTACCCTAGAAGCCATCACACGTCGGAATTCCTCGATTATACTGGCGGACCGTTGTTTTTATTTTTGTTTCCTTTTTGCTTCATTTCATCCCCCATTATTTCCTTCGTCTAGATAGAGTTTAGGATAGTATAATTACGGTACTTGGTAGATTTAGGAACTTAATTCCCTGTGGATCGATATCTGGAATTCACTATTCTACAAAACGCGATACTGTACACTTGCGGTTATTTATACGTAGGTTTTACGCGTATCAAGTTTTTGGCGCCGTTGCCGGGGAATTAGTTAATCTTGAATTTACTAATATCGTTACCAACTATCCTTACTTTACTTTAGACATTTTTTTTTCTTTTTTTTCATTTGATTTTTTTTTTCCATTTGTTTTAGCAGATTTGTATACATCGATGGCCTCGATTTATGATCTCTCTCTTTGCAAGATTCAATCCAGAGCTGATTACATTCAACATGAGTTGGAGGATATTGAAAGACATCGAAGGTTGAACCCAGAAAATGGAATTGCACAAACAAATGAGCACTTCTGCTATCTACAAGAAGAACTCCACTTTTTGGCAAATATTTTTGAAAATTTTCAGAGATGTCACATTCATAAACCACATCCGACCATCCTTTATGAAGACAACAAGGCATTTACAGATTTTCGTATGAACGATGAGGTTGAGCACCTTGAAGGAATTATTCATCCCAGTTCTGTAGATACTTTTGTGTGTGATGAGAGTGGGATGAAGATGATGGTAGAGGAACTTGAAGAACGAAATCCTATCCACATTGCTACTCCGGATTTGAGTGTGAGCGAGGAGACGAGTTTCAAATTTGAGGTAGAGCTTTCTCCAAAGCTCGAATATCTTGTATACGAATTTGAGAGATCGGTAGGCAAGCAACCCATCCTAGTCTCCTACCGACTGATTTCCAAAGCAAACGAAAAGTACCATGGGTTGGGATGGTCATTAAAAGATTGCAATCTAGTCAATGATATGATTGCAAAGTATGTATCAAGATTGACGGATGGATGCGCAATCTACAAGGCTTTGGATTGGACATAATCCGTCCAAATTGTGTCGAGCCGTCGACAGTAAAACAGGCGCTGAATGGGAGGCAACCCATTGTTTATTTATCTTCTTATTTTCTTTGTTTTTGTCGTTTTTGTCGTTTTAGCATTTTTTTTGTTTTTTTTTTTGTTTAAGCTAGATTTCACCCATTTTTCTTGATTTTTGCCGGTATCTCGTCCCCAAGGAAAGAAGAGTTAGAAGTCGGGAAGTCTAGGCAATTCTGGCAATTCGCCCTCGGTGCCAAAATTCACGGCACCCCGTGCAACCAAAGAACACTTTCGCAACCGTAGAACACTGATCAATCTGCGGCACGACTGTTCAGGGCGTATTTCTTTCTCCTTTCTTTTATTTTTCGCATTGAGGGCAATGCATGATTTAAGTTTGGGGGTGCGTTTAGCTTATTTTTCTTTTTGGTCTTTTGCATGCATATCATATAATTTAGTTTCATTTATGTACTTCAATTTCCGTAATTGTGTTATGTTTGTCACATGCATTTCATTTAGGATCGAGTGTAAGTTGCATTTCCGGATTCTATTGAAGCAAAGCAATTAATGAATTAGTAGATGGGCTAGTTGATTTTAAAATTGAAATTATGGATAACCGGCTAATTATAGATGTACCTTCCGACTGCGTTTTTGCAACTTGTGTGGATAGCCTTTCGAATCCTTTCCGATTAAGCTTGAGCGCACTTTTCTGAGGGGTATAATAGTCTGAGGTTTGGGGGGCGAGTTAGAATTGAATTATGTGTTCACGATTTCCAGTTGTTGGCTAAAAGTTCTATCAATGGTCTTTACGTTTTTATTTTATGTTCGATGTTAAAAAAAAAAAAAAAAAAAAAGGAGAGAAAAATAATAATTTGTGGTATTGTTGTGATTCACGCTCTGATTTCCCCGCCTTTCTGACTCAAGCTTAACCCGTTGGGTGCACCTCGTCGCCTAAGTCTCTCGAGCTGTCGAGCTTGGGGGTTTCTTGGACTAAAGTTCGATAAATGGGTCAGGGAGATAACACAGTGGTGTCGAGCCTTGCACGAGTCACGATTATGCCCGTTTCAAAAAAAATGAAAAAAGGAAAAAGTTGTGATGAAAATCACCAAAAATATTGTAGTTATCATTTCTTTTATTTGAATAAATAGACCTACTTATGCCCAACTCGAGTTTTTGAATTTCTGAATCAAAACTTACTTTTCACCCACATTTCTACTCAAAACCCTCGATAATTGTGTTTATTGTTTAATTACGGATTCTTGAGTCTATCTTTCATTTTGGTGTAGAAACAACTAATTGCATCGGTAAGAAAGTCGAATACCTTAAGCCGTATGCCATTCTAAGATTTTAGGTTATCTAGCTCGTTTCATCTTTCGAATTAATTGCAATGCTTTGACCAATCCGGCAACTTTGTGGGTGTGTTGTCTGAAAACCCTCACGAGACACAACTCGTCCTCTAGGGGTACCCAGGGGTTCAACGGCTTGTTGCATACGCTAAATGCAATCGTGTTTCCCTACGTTAGTGGCCTAGGTTTAGTTTTTTTTTGCTTTCGTGGATTCTCAACTCGCCCGACGGATATTCTGTTTGTCAGTA